AAATACAGTATTAAATAGTCTAGGGAGGTAATAGGTCCTCATGAAAGTTTAGTATCGCAACAACAAATCCGACCAAAGTTGGGATATTTTTCAGACCCTTATTCCTAATTATTATGTGAGAAAGTTATGACAAATCAAAATAAAAAAGAAAAGTAAAAAGTAGTTAAATGATCATCTGAGAATCATCCCTGTATTTTATACTTGAAATATAGGACAGTAATTATATATTTAGGAGTCAGCTGACTGGCGCATGTGTAATTTATATCAAGTAAAAAAAATAGATGAGAAAAGGACTTTGTGTTTACATCTGATTCTTTCAATAAAGTTGTGAACTAGGTAAAAATTGAGTGTTGGGATGTGATATTTTGGAATATTTTAACCTTTGTCTTTTCCTCTAAATTGATTAATGGTCCATGCAAATTGTCACGTTTCTATGTCCTTGTACGATAGCAACATAAATATACATAGATACGATCTTTTTTATCTGTCAGTGGAAAATTAAGATATTATTAAGAATAGAATATATCTGATATATAATCATTCTCCATTAGAGATTCAAGAATATGTTATCTGCAGCATCATCAGCTCCCTTCTTTTAATTTTCAATTTTATATTTGAAGGCAGACTTGAAGTAACTGTAATATTTTTGTGTGATTTATAAGTTACAAATTTAAATCGTGAAAGCAGTCATCAATATTTGTATAAGGATAATTGTATATATCATTCCCCTTGAAGTAACTCTTCCCTAAACCCTATTAGCACGAATATTTTATTTACCGCACTGCCTTTTTTCCTTTACAGGCTTTCAAGAATTTATATCAAGGTGTTGGATTAATGAAAAGTTGACCTTGTCCTGTACATGACAAATTGATTACGTACTATATATGTCATATATGGAATTAAACTCATAGACTATACATCAACCTGACTTACACCAGCGTTGTTTTCAGTTGAAAGAAACTAAAACATATCTCAAAAGTCTCCTACAAATTAAATGTAGGATAGTACTGCATATAATATATAGTTTTTTGTGGTCGGTCCGATATATCCTTCCCCAAGACCCTGCATAGTGAGAGTATAATGCAGCGGAGTATATTCCAAACTCTATCAACATATAAACTTCAAAAAAGTAGCCAATCCATCTAGAGAAAGGAATTGAAAACTTAACCTTTTGGTATTAGTTTTTTCAAATTTTTGATGTTGTACTTCCTCCGTCCCTTTTAGTTGTCAGGTTGATGAAAGTCAATTTTGACTAATTTTCAAAGTTAAATTAGATTACATTAATTTTATATTTTAAAAATAAATTTAAATATTCAAAAAATTATACAAAAAGTACTATAAATTGCAATTTTTTAAATATCACAATATGATAAAAAAATACATCATAAAATATTAGTAAAAGTTCTTATCATTTTACTCTAAAAAGAGAAAATCATGACAACTATAAAAAAACGGAGGAAGTACTAACTGTTTGTGTGTTAAACTGGAAGTTAAAGGCATTGTTTAATTTGATTGGATATCGTACGTTTCAAAATGTCAAGCCTCGAAGTTAGGCATTGAATTAATTTATTTTTTGTCAAGTTGGATATGTAGCTAGGTATTTATTGGATCAGCTTGCAGAAAAAAGTCATACATTTACTACCTGTAGACTGTAGTAGATAGTTCAGTAGTACTTTTGAGTAAGATTAAAAGCTATACAATATTGTTTCAACAATCACATATCCTATAGTGAACTGAGAGGGATTTAAGTCTTCTATTGTGGAGGCTTAAATAGAACCAGTCAAACTTTTGCTATGTATATACTCAACAGAAAAGTCAAACTCAACAAATTAATATGTCATTTGGATCAACCAACACGTGGACTGTGGTGTAATGGTGCGACCGATTCACTCTTAATAAGAGATTTCAGGTTTAAACTCTGTACATGGAGAAAGTCTTGTTGAGAACGCCGTCCCGAACCCTGCCGTGCACAACAATTCGGAGGTAATCGGACACCGAACGTAAAACCGAAAAAAGTCATTTGGATCAGACTACTCATGTCTACTTCGCCTATAAATTTGGAGTCATAATTTCCTTCAATTAAATCATTATACTCTCCGCCGCCGCTTGGGACCATCCATCTATCCACATTTGTTACTTTCATTAGGTCCGACTAAGTAACTTTACTTTTTTTTGTACATAATAAAACTCAAATTGAACTATTCTTATTAAAAATGAAAAAATCCTTGTTTATTGATGAGGACCATCAGCCTTATCATCATCACAAGTCACAACACATGGTCGTTTTTGTTTGTCTCAAAGGGTCATGTACGCCTAGCACCACGGACAAATTTATAGGTAAAAATTGAAGGACATTCATTTGTGATTTTTCGCAATATTTTCTCAAATTTGTATAACATTATCTGTTGGTATCCATATTACAATAAGACTAAGCGGTGCACTTGGTTGAAGGTTTACCTTGAGGACTAGGGATTAGTTTCCACGGAATACTCTTTAGTGATGCGCTCATGTTCTAAAAATTCTAAATTCGCCACTATATGACACTAGTTTTGTATTTAATTAGGGCATTTATACCCTTGGTTTCCTTCATATTCTCCAGGAACTCAGGACTAGCACTCCTATAATAGGTGTAGCCCACACTGATTCTTTTTTATACTATAAGCTTGACTCCAAGTGATAAACTAAAATATTGATCAATTTGTTATTCTAAACTAAGTACATGAGAAGCTAATGTAAAAGACTAGACAATTAGTTGAGAGGCAACGGCTCGCGAAGACACCTGTCCCTCACTGTTTAGTTAAATTAGCAATGAAGTTCGTAACTAATTTTAGATTTTCTTTTTATAGTAAGAACATTCAAACATGTTTTTCATTACCAAAGTTAATGATAATAATAATCTGGCAAGAGTTTGCCTAAGCAGCCATATCATGATGTTTTCTCACTCAAGTGATGTAGAAAAATAAACTGATATTTTGATGCAAATATGAATTAATTAGTGTTTTTTTTTCTTTAATCTTATTTGCGTTCAGCAAACAAAATTAGATGAGAATTAATTAAGGCCTACGAAGCTTGAGGGTGGGCACCATAGCCAAAAAGTCTTAAGACCATTAAATGGATTAGATAGTACGGAAAATTGAAAGGATTTTAGGTAATTAAGTTATATTTAGTATAGTACTTAATTAGACATCAAAAATATATACTGTACCATAAGTTTTAAGTTATATCCATCTGAACAAAGCTATTTAGATGAAACCAATAAAGATTAGCAGTACATTTTACTTCAATTGGTTTCACAATTAATCACTTTACTAATTGTTATTATCTCAGAAAGTCTATTTTTAATGCTACCTTCGTTTACTTTTACTTATTAAATTTACTAAATTTTTTTTTTTAAGAAGTCATGTTTTACCTTCAACGTTAATTATTTATTTTTCAATTTTTTTTCCATTACCAAAAGATATACATCCATTAGTAGGAGTATTGTTATAAAATGTTTATGTCAATCATTTTTTTTTTAAGGATCCGTAAAAATTAAAATTAAACAAGTAAAAATAAATGGTGGAAGTATATATATTCAATACACAAAGCAGTCTACTTTCATTTCTTGGTCCTCCTTCTAGAGAGTGGGCTTTGATTTTTCTTGGTATTACATTAATTAGTACTTACCTAAATAATCTAGCATTGATCATAAAGGTCAAAGTTTAAGTTTCAACCAAAATAAAAGGAAAGTTAAATAATTTAATGTCACATATTTAATATTTCTAATAATAATATTAATTGACAGCAGTATATCAGATAAATTAGTGATACACATTATTTTCCCGCAAACTAAAGGAAATAAATTATATATGAGTTCATATATATATAAGAAAAGGAGGACTAAATTAATAAAGAAATAAATTGTAAGAAAAAGAGGACTAAATTATTAAAGAAATAAATTAAATAAAGTTAATTATAAGTAGTAGTAGGATGAAAGAAAAGGGAAGGCATCTTATACGATCAATTATTACCTACCTACCCAACCTGTGGTCGGAGTGGACGTTTCCTCGTTTAAAATACCCCTTTCCCACCACACACCTTTATTTCAAACGAAAATAGTTTTTTTCATCTCGTAAATATAATAGTAATGTCAGAATTCACTTATGAAATTATATTAATATGTTACTGTTATTATTGCAAGAGTGAATAATGAAATATATTTTTTCATTCATTTTTATTTGTCAATGTTTGACTTGTTGTCACTCTCCTTAGTACTAATATTAATAGGCTTTTAACATATGCACAAGCTATATTGTACATCCATTCCGCTAGTAAATTTGGAGCCAAATTTACCTGTGACTTTACGTTGTACCATTGCGTCACGCTAATATAAGAAAACTTTTAAGAAGAAAGAGAGACTTTCTTACTCATCACATTACTTAGTCAATTTTTTTTAAAAGAAAAATCTCTTTTCCTATTTAGCAACTATTTGATTCCAAATTTCCAGATAAATCTCAAATATTACAATATTAAAAAATATTTTGAAGTATTTGATTAAATGATTTAATATTTTTTTACTTTCTTAAATTATGTGTCAAATCAAAATAGTACAAATAAATTAAAATTGGAGCGTATTAGCAAATAAGAAATTGACGATGTATAAAATTTTGTAACTAAATAAAAAAATTCTATACTAATTTTATTTAGCTACAAAATAAAGATGAATTATAAGAAAATTCAATTAGCTTGGAACGTATTATAAATAAATTAGCTATGAATTGTCCATAAATTCTATAGGAGAACAAAAATGTTTTACATCACTCCACAATCTACCGAAACAAAAAAAAGTAAATACGCACCTTTCAACTTTCAAGTCTCAATAATTAATTATTACTCTCTATTATCCTATTCAAATAGTGAATAAAAAAAAATCTGAAGTATCAATTTCTTTTCTTTTTCTAATTTGTCCTGTAGTGTGGAGTGGGTGGGTTGATAGAAGAAAGGGGGTAGGGGGGTTAACCCCACATCTCTTTATTCATATTTCCTTTTTGTGGTTGAAGAGATGAGTATGCAGAGAGAAAAATATAGATCAGTCTGACAAGAAGGCAACTTCTCAAAGCTTAGAGAGCTACCACCCGAAGATAGACAGTTAGTTACATGTGTGTATGTGTGAGTGACTGATTTTTTTGCTAAAGCTCCTTTCATCTCTTTCTCTTTCTTTTATATCATTTTCCTTTTTTTTTTATTTATAGTTGAAGATCTCTGTAAACAAATTTTAATTTTTCACTATAAAGAATTCCCTTCCTTTTATTTATAAAAATGTTTGTGAGGACTTATTTGAAGCTTTTTCTTGTTTGTTACTTTCTGTTTGCAGGTACTGTTATAGATAAAAGGAGAAATCCGAAGAAGAAAGAATTTTTTTTGCAAATATGTACTATCAAGGAACCTCGGATAATAATATACAAGCTGATCATCAACAACATCATAATCATGGGAATAGTAATAATAATAATATTCAGACGCTTTATTTGATGAACCCTAACAATTATATGCAAGGCTACACTACTTCTGACACGCAGCAGCAGCAGCAGCAGCACCAGCAGCAGTTACTTTTCCTGAATTCTTCACCAACAGGAAGCAACGCGCTTTGCCATGCGAATATACAACACGCGCCGCTGCAACAGCAGCACTTTGTCGGTGTGCCTCTTCCGGCAGTAAGTTTGCACGATCAGATCAATCATCATGGACTTTTACAGCGTATGTGGAACAACCAAGATCATTCTCAGCAGGTGATAGTACCATCGTCGACGGGGGTTTCTGCCACGTCATGTGGCGGGATCACCACGGACTTGGCGTCTCAATTGGCGTTTCAGAGGCCGATTGTGGTGTCTCCGACACCACAACACCGACAGCAGCAACAACAGCAAGGCGGTCTATCTCTAAGCCTTTCTCCTCAGCAACAACAGCAAATTAGTTTCAATAACAATATTTCATCCTCATCACCAAGGACAAATAATGTTACTATTAGAGGAACATTAGATGGAAGTACTAGCAACATGGTTTTAGGATCTAAGTATCTGAAAGCTGCACAAGAGCTTCTTGATGAAGTTGTTAATATTGTTGGAAAAAGCATCAAAGGAGATGATCAAAAGAAGGATAATTCAATGAATAAAGAATCAATGCCTTTGGCTAGTGATGTCAACACTAATAGTTCTGGTGGTGGTGGTGGTGAAAGTAGCAGCAGGCAGAAAAATGAAGTTGCTGTTGAGCTTACAACTGCTCAAAGACAAGAACTTCAAATGAAAAAAGCCAAGCTTCTTGCCATGCTTGAAGAGGTATGATCCTGAATTTTGAGTCTATGAATTTCGGATTCTTAAGACTAAAACTACTGAATGAATTCGACATATATTTAAAATTTTATTTTCAAATGATTCAAAACTGTAATTTTTTCTTCTCATAAAAAATTGAATGGATGAAACTGTTGATTTATATATGTTTGCAACAATAGTAGTTGGTAAATGAAATGTACAGATTTTGTTAATTAGTTGAAGAACAAGAGTTTCCAACAAGAGACCAATCACGTACGTTGCGGTTTCTGTTGATATTAAAACAAACTGACAATGTGTGGCTCTTAAATTTTCTTCTGCGGGTCCAACTAAAGCTATAAAGATAATACACCAAAGTTAGCTACGAACCTGAAATGTCTTCCGCTGCACCAAAATTCAAACCACTATCTCTTATTCACCTTTTTTACACCACGCATAATGTCCACTCAGATGTGTCCTCTATCTAATGACTATCAAAAATTTGATGGTTTACAAAATATACTACTCAGTTTATTTCTCACTTGGAATATAAATATGATCTTTTAACTGAAATAAAATTCTTTAATTTCAATAGTAGCCAACATAAGATAACTTCATGTTGTAAAATGGTAAAAGTTTAATATTACCTTTGTTTTTGTTCAGGTGGAGCAAAGGTACAGACAGTACCATCACCAAATGCAAATAATTGTATCATCATTTGAGCAAGTAGCAGGAATTGGTTCAGCCAAATCATACACTCAATTAGCTTTGCATGCAATTTCGAAGCAATTCAGATGCCTAAAGGATGCAATTGCTGAGCAAGTAAAGGCGACGAGCAAGAGTTTAGGTGAAGAGGAAGGCTTAGTAGGGAAAATCGAAGGCTCAAGACTCAAATTTGTGGACCATCATCTAAGGCAACAACGCGCGCTGCAACAGCTAGGAATGATGCAACCAAATGCTTGGAGACCCCAAAGAGGTTTACCTGAAAGAGCTGTCTCTGTCCTTCGTGCTTGGCTTTTCGAGCATTTTCTTCATCCGTGAGTACTCCTAAACTATTTATTTCTTTGAAAAATTTCACTTCAGACAATGTGAAAAATATCTACGGAGTAGTAGATAGATAATTGATTATTCTAACCAATTTTTGCGTCCTATATTTTAAGTGTCTTTTATATGGTTTTAACATGTCCATTAGGAACAAATTAAGTGATTTTTAGAGCCACGCCAGTTATTTTGAAACTTTCGTTTGGAGGGTTAAAAAGACACTTACTTTTAACTCAAACTATATATGCATACACACAAAAAATAAAATATGTGCATGTATATAATAAGATCACATTATTCTAAATTCTGAATTCGCCCATTCTAGTTCTCTAATATAGGAGTATGTTTTTAACTATAAAAATGTTTTTTTTTTCTTAATATATTTTTATATTGCAGTTACCCAAAGGATTCAGACAAAATCATGCTTGCTAAGCAAACGGGGCTAACAAGGAGCCAGGTTCTTAGACACACATTTTACTATAATTCTTGGATTAATTCCTTTCTTCTCTTTATAAAAAATCCTTAATATATGAAAATGCAGGTCTCTAACTGGTTCATAAATGCTCGAGTTCGATTATGGAAGCCAATGGTAGAAGAAATGTACTTGGAAGAAGTGAAGAATCAAGAACAAAACAGTACTAATACTTCAGGAGATAACAAAAACAAAGAGACCAATATAAGTGCTCCAAATGAAGAGAAACATCCAATTATTACTAGCAGCCTATTACAAGATGGTATTACTACTACTCAAGCAGAAATTTCTACCTCAACTATTTCAACTTCCCCTACTGCAGGTGCTTCACTTCATCATGCTCACAATTTCTCCTTCCTTGGTTCATTCAACATGGATAATACTACTACTACTGTTGATCATATTGAAAACAACGCCAAAAAGCAAAGAAATGACATGCACAAGTTTTCTCCAAGTAGTATTCTTTCATCTGTTGACATGGAAGCCAAAGCTAGAGAATCATCAAATAAAGGGTTTACTAATCCATTAATGGCAGCATACGCGATGGGAGATTTTGGAAGGTTTGATCCTCATGATCAACAAATGACCGCGAATTTTCATGGAAATAATGGTGTCTCTCTTACTTTAGGACTTCCTCCTTCTGAAAACCTAGCCATGCCAGTGAGCCAACAAAATTACCTTTCTAATGACTTGGGAAGTAGGCCTGAAATGGGGAGTCATTACAATAGAATGGGATATGAAAACATTGATTTTCAGAGTGGGAATAAGCGATTTCCGACTCAACTATTACCAGATTTTGTTGCAGGTAATCTAGGAACATGAATCCCAGAAAGTCTCGTATTGATAGCTGAAAAGATAAAAGGAAGTTAGGGATACTCTTATATTGTGTGAGGCCTTCTGGCCCAAGTCGGAGGACCCAATTTGATACAACCTATCATAGGAGAAAAGAAGTGGAGACAAAATTGAAGTAACAAAATTTTAAAGCACACTTTCTAGTATATATACTTCTTTTTTTTATAGTATAGAAAAGAAGAGATTTTGTGCTTTAGTGTATAGATAGAGTCTACTTAGTATAGGTTATACTTCTAGTTCCTTGAGAAGATTGATACAACTAGTAGTATTTTTTTTCTTTTTGGGTTGGCTTGGAGTACTATTTTAAGTTAATATGGAAACTAGCTATAGTATATGTTGTAAAGTTGTGATATTGTTCCTCTCAATTTGCATATAATTTGAAATATTTTGTACCTACTAGCTAGTCTCTAAATTATGTTTCCATTGCTTGTAATTGCAATTTTATTTGAATTTTGTTCTATCATTATTAGATTATAGCAAAACTACGCCTTAATTTTGATTAGATTGTGTGCCTAATACTTTAATTTTGATAAGATTGCATGCCTAATACTATAATGTTGATTAGATTGCGTGCCTAATTAATTAAGACAAGCCAATTTTAATAATGTTAGATGGAATCCTACAGAGTTTAATAATAGAGTTGTTATGGTAAAGTCATATCCTTATGATTTCTATAAGAGATGAGCGGATTTGTTAGAGAAGAAGCAAGTTATGATGATTCTACAAATATATAGAGAAAATTACATCTCACTATTTAATTATTATATCGACTATCGTATGTACAATCGTTTCCTAGCTAAGACAATTGTCTCTTCAATTTGTTCTCGACTAGCTTATTTGCTTATATTTGAAGCCAAATAATTGGCTTTGTGTCATTGTACAAAGATACTTCTTCACTTCTATTCTATTTAAATGGAATGACATTTTTTTATATATTTGAAAACTATTTAATTATAAACTTCACATTTATCATTGTGTGTTGTGTCTAACACACATATAACTTGTTATTTTCATTTAGATTATGCATTCCTAATTATATATACTGTATAAAGTTTGAGCTGCATAAATGGTTTGTATAAACATATATAATGTTGACAAGCAGTCAAACATAGAAAGAAAAAAAAGGCATCGCAGTGGAAAAGTCTATGGCAAAGTGTGGCTGTTTGGATCCCATCACCATTTCTAGAATGTTTATTATGCACCTTACAATAATAGTAACATACTTGGTGTGATTTCAAAAGGTGATTTAGGAAGGATGTAGTGTACGCAGATCTTACTCCAACATTATGAGAGATAAAATAGTTGTTTCCAGTAGACCCACAACTCAAGAAAAGTCGTAATAAAAAGGTTATAAGAAAAATTCAAAGTAAAAGATATGATAAAAATGCCATAGAAAAGAATAATCTTAACAACAATGTTATTATATACTGTGAAACTATCTTATAATCTTCGTATAAAGTGTATTATTGTGTACTTTTGATAGACATATTTTGTCATTTTAAATCATTATAATCCTTTTCTACTATCATTACAATTGACAAGCAACATATTCATCGAATGAACTCGTGATTTTTGCTCCACGCTATTATCGCAATTCGAAATTTTAATTATCTAATCACTTATGTTTTTACCTTATATCCATATAAAACTATATGCTATAACAAACAAAACCCACCTAAATAATGTTGGGAAAATTATATGAAATAACAAACTATTAATTCAAATCAAATGTTATAGTCATAGTTTATTTTAATTGTAATTCGCAGTAAATATCTCCTTCTTTTGCCATTTGATTCGGTATACAATTAGCCATTTTATACATTTCGGTATAAAATGCCTTTGTGTTTGTATATAGCGAGAGAAACGTGTATATACAAATATAAATACACATATTTTCGTCCTATACACTTATAATTATACAAATACAAATCTTATTATACAAATTACAATGTATAAATGAATTATACAAAACTGAACAATTTGTATAAAAATGGATGTTTGTAGCGAATTATACAAATCAAAAGCTCCATAGCAAACATAAAATTTGCTATGGAGCGAAATTATACAAACTACTGCTATAACATACAAATATGATTTTTATGTTTGCTATATGTGAAAGTTGCTCAATAATGTTTAGTATAGAGCAATTTTCACATATATCAAACACAAAATTCATATTTGTATGCTAAAACAAAGTTTGCATAATTGAGCTCCATAGCAAACATATATATGTATAATTTGCTATACATATACAAAAAACACTTGTATAATTCGCTATACATATACAAAGAAGACAGTTGTATAATTCACTATACATATACAAAAGAAAGCAGTTGTATACAAAAGATCAATTGTATAATTTGTGTATGTATAAAACGAGAAAGAGAAAAAGGCAAAAGAAAACTGGGCAGGAAAATATTTGTATTGTATAATTATAAGTGTATAAGAAGAAGATATATGTATTTGCATGTGTATATACAATTTTCTCTTGCTTTATACAAACAAAAGTGCAATTTATACATTTCGTTTCTGTTTGTATAAACGAGAGAGGCGAGGGTGGCGAGCGAGATCTGGGAGAGGGGAGAAAGGGGAACGAAAATATATGTATATATACAATTTCCTCTCGCTTTATACAAACACAAACATATTTTATAAATTTGTGTTTGTATAAAAGCGAGAGAGACGAGTGAAAATACCACCAAACGAGAGTGGCGAGCGAGATTCCACCAGGGAGAGTGGCAAAAATAACAATAGTTTGCTATAGGGTACAATTAAATGAAAGTATATTTATAGCATTTAATTTGAATTAATAATTTGCTATTATATACAATTTTCCCTTTAGTATATCCCTAAGGAAGATATTCTTGTCTAATGGGCCGGCTCTGGACAAGAATGTGTGCCGGTCTGGGTGGGTTTAATATGGGCTTCTTTTGGCCCCTTTAATCCTCTAATTTTTTTATTTATTTTGTTAAATATGTTTAACAAATTGTTATTATTATGAAATTCTACGAGAGGAATGAAATCTATAAATTATATGAAGGTTAAAACTTAAAATGTTTAAATTTCATGACATAAAAAGTCTAGCAAGAAGAACTTTTATTATAAATTATAAATTTCTTTTTGCTCATCGTCATGAAGTACATATTCTTCGCAATTGGATATGTATGTTTTAAATCAAGGGTCGAACAATTCAATTATCAGTTGATTACATGCAGTATAAACAAGTTGGTCCAAAAATTATTATTAATAAAAAATAAAATAAAATTCTTTCCATAAAATGATAATAGTAGAAGTTGAGGTGGATCAGATGTGTCTTCCATTGTCACATGAGTGAACAACTAATCAGTCATCAACCTTTAAAAAGTTAATTTTAATTAAATTGAGTATTTAAAATGAAATGTGAAATATAAAAGCAAATAAATACTAGTAATATGTATCAATTTAACTATTTGTATGTGACAATGAATAGAGCTTCTCCATTTTTAATTAAAAGTTTTGAAATTGAATCATAAAATAAAAAAAATCTTGGTAGAAAATACTTCTCCTAAATGAGTCCGTCTTATGCAATGCAAATCTAAAATAATGGGGCTCCAATACTACATACACCAGGTGGGAAATCAATTTTTTTTTATTCTAACTAAGATACTAAGATATCAAATTACCGATTACCGTAATATAGAATAGATTTAGGAAATAATTGTTTACAAATTTTACCCAAAAGAAAAAAAGATTTTTCATTTAGGTATACACTAGTAAGAAAGAACATATATAAAGGGTAAAGGTACAAAAAAAAAAAAAAACTTTGTGGAAAGCCTATGCAATTTCTCTGTGCTATATTCTCTGAAAATCTTCCATTAAAATCCTACTGTAAAACCCAATATTGCATTTCCGATTTTCCGGCATGGATAGCGATACAAACTGGTCGGAGAAGGTCGAGGATCTCGTCGATGCCGGAGAAATCAATGAAGCCATATCTTTGTTAGAAGAATTAGTCGCAAAGCTAGAATATGAGTCCCAAAACTCGTCAAATTCCCAGCTTCGTCTATCTACTGCTCTACTGGAATTATCGAAGCTCTACTCCACTCAAGGCTTATCTTTGCGAGCTGACCAGACGCGCTCTAAGGCATTTCTCATTAAACAGCAGCAAGAAAATAGGTATGAACCCGATTTCCCCCTTTTCGGTTGTTTGAATGCTTAGAAAATTGGATGTTGTTGCATTTTACCGAGTTTATTTGATATGAATGGTGGTTTTTAACGAAGAGCAGAATTTTACCCGATTTCCTTTTTTCTTGAATTAAGGTGGCAATGATTGGGGGAATTGTGGGTTCGATCTTTTCCTATTATTGCACCCTTTAGCTGTTTGTCTGCCAATAAAATAGGAGAAAATGGTGATAAATTGTGAACTTTCATTGCTTGAATGTAATTTTTATGTGTGATGATTTTGCTCCACTTCGAACTTTGTGGTTTTCATCCAATTGGCTGGCGTTTTTATGCAATTTCTTTGGTTAGTCTTGGTTTTGATCAGGTGTAATCATTAGCTTATCCATTGTTTTTTTCTCTGCCAGGGATGTAAATGCTACTAAGGAGTCAACTGGTGATGGCATTTCAGGTAGTCGGGTTTCACAAAGTGAGGCTCTTGCGTGTACTTAGTGTTCTTCTTTGTCCTTGGTCTAGATTCATGATTTTTAATTTCATCAGTCTAAAGATAAACTTCAAGTATTTGATTAACTTGACATGTATCAAAAGGAGAAAACCGACTTCATGCGTAACAGATATCCCAACTCTTATTCCATAGAGTAGTCATTGTTGTCAACTTTTAAAACTTCAAATAACTTTAATCTACATCTTGTACAATCACTATATATCACATAATCTTATAACTAATCATTGAATAATTGTCCAGAAAATGATTTTTCAAGTAAAACATTTCCACAGAAAAATATTTTCTATAGAAAACATTACCTCCATGCCAATTTTTTTTTCTTTTTCTATATTGTTGTTCTCAGACTTATAAGCCTTACTTCATTTTTTAGGTGATAACAAGGATCACGCCAGCTTGCAAATTGATACCTCACAGAATGATGAAGATGATGGTAATACCCCCACATCTACGAGGCTATAACATCTCCTCCGTTAACTTATCCTATTATGTTTTGTGTAGCCAATGATCTTTGTTGAGCATGAAAATTTTACGTGCATTGGGTGAGAGTGGGGGTGGGGGTGCTGTGTAGGGAAATGGGTTGAAGAGGTGAGGAGGAGGGAATTGCTTGCTTCTATTGGAGTAACCATCTGAGGGGTTATCATGTTTGGTATCCTCTTCGGGAATAGGTCCAAGGGAAATTGAATGTAAGAATTCTACGATGGTGCTATATTTTAGTATTTTGCTTTCTGCTTGCCCATCAAAAGGATTCACTTCTAAGATACTAGAGATTTTCAATTGAAGTGCTCAATTATATGTATGATACACACATACTATTGTCTGTCCACTTGAGAACAGTGCTGATTTCTAACATTTGTCAAACCTGGCCTCGTACTATATTGGTTCCACTCCTCCATGTTAGTATGAGTAACATGATGCATTAACCTTTGCGCACATTCGACAAGTTTGTTTCACTTGTGAAGTTTGTGATCAACCGGGTAAGGCCAAAAAACTGGGTTCAGTGTCTATTTGTACAGGAAGCTGATTTTATGACCTTCCGTATTGCCCATTACTAACCCCTAGTTAATTTATCCATTACCTCATTAAAGTTTGATATATATCTAGGATCCCTAAGATCAATGTAGTTTGAAGTTATAACCTTGAGGTGAATACCTTATTAAAACATAATCTTTTGGTGAATACAGATTGGGAAGCTATTGCTGATCGTGCTCCAGATGAATTACTTTCCCCACAACACTTGCCAGAAGTGTCTAAAATTTCTTTGCAAGATTCGAAAGTTCAAGCCCCCAAGCGACGTGGAAGGGGTACATTCTCCTATCAGAAGCAGAGTCTCTACAGCGATCAGCAGTCTGATGAGCCTGCCGTTGATGACATTGAAGATGAAACTGTTTCCGGTACTCCAGAAGGGAGCTCAGATACAAAAAATTGTATGACTGCATTCTTTTCAAGCATGGCATTATTTGATCATCAGCTGTTATCATGTCACTGATTTGGTTATGAATATATTCCTAGTTATCTACTCATTTTTCCTGGTTAACCCAAATGTTATACTTGTATATGTTTCAAAATGTTGCAGTAAGCAATTCAATCTGTCATTTATTCTTCTTCATTGTTTTGACATATTGTGATCTAGTGGTTCGTATTGGCCTTTTTCGCGCATGCACAAAATGCCAATGATGGAATAAAATTAGTTTAGCATGTGCATGTCTCATGGGCATAATAAACTTGGGTGTAACTTAGGAATATTTGTTAGGTACTAGGTACAAATGTAAGCACCTAATATTGGAACTATTAGCCACTTATAATAATAGGTCGAGTGCATATGATGTCATAAATACCTCTTAAATTGTCCTCACTCGTTTCTGCTGAAATAATTTCTATTTTGTGCATGAGAACATGCTCATTTTGAGTTTCTCCCCCCGACTCTTCATTTAGCGGCTGACTGTTTTTCTCTCACATTTCTTCTGTTTTTGTAAAATCCAGTGAACTATGGAACGCGCCACGTCTTGGTTCTGGCTGATTTCCCGCCGAGCACTAAAACAAATGACCTAGAGAAACTGTTGGAGAAATTTAAAGACGATGTAGCAATTCGCTGGGTCAATGATACAGTTGCACTTGCAGTGTTCAGAACACCAGCCCTTGGTAATTTGGTTCTTTCTTTTGTCTGTAATTTGAAATTAAAATTGCTTTCTTCCATTAGCATAGCTTTTAATGACTCACCACGCTCCCTTGACCCCTCCTTTATGCCAAGGGTGTTTTGGTTCTATTATAAACAGAATGCTTAACCTAGGTTTATCCTGATCGTTAACAGCGAAGTTGAGAACTAGTATGACTGAGTTTCTCAGGCAGATGAATTCCATTAAATTATCATTCTTTTACACTAGCGATGACTTGGATTTTGTTTAGTTTTTCTCCGTAGATGAACATGTCAGTTGGACATCAAAGGTCAGGTTTAATATATCCCAGATAAAGTATGGGAGTCCTTTGGTTTGGACTGAAATAGCAAGGCCAGAGGAGATGGACATTATGGTTGATTTTTTTTTTAGCCTATACTACAAAATGGAGTTCCATTCTTCTAGTTATTATGTAAGGAAGGTGTTAGCTTAATTATGCAGCAAAGAAATTTCATAAGAAGCAAAATTTCAGGTTCAGCCAAAATTTGGTTCAGTGTAAATGCACTAATCCAAAAGAGAAGCTAATCTTTAGATTTTGAGTTAAAGACTGAAAGGTAAGGATTTTCTTCCGAGATATCTTTCAAATACGAAGGGAACTAATTACTTTACTTCTAAGACGACAAGAACCTGTCGTTGATGAATGTTTTCTTATCTGAGTTGCTAAAATGTGCTCGTCTCGGGATTATAGGGCTTCTGCAAGAATGCCTTTAGAATCTTGTCATGCTTGATATATTAACTTTTGAATCCTAAGCCTCTTCAGGAGAAGCCTTTCTGGTGAAAATCTTTTGAAGTGATTGAACATTGTGAGACGTGGAAATCTTGGGTCTGGAATCATTCAAAAGTAGGAATAAGGATGACATAGTTCTCACAGAACCTTATACGGACATAGGTTGGTCAAATGTAATGATGAAATTGGAGAGGTTCATTGGATGGAAATAATGACAGATGGAATAGAAACTCTTGTCGCCTCCTGTGAGTATACATTGTTTACTCTCATTTTGCAACCTTTTGGAGGTTTCCCAGCATGTCCTTAATGCTGAAGATTACAAATTACCATTTTCAAAAAAAAAATAAAAATGTGTCGCCTCCCGTCAGTTGCACACAGGTAGCAGCTCTAAAGTCGCAGTCAGAAGATGGCATTGAAGAGACTACTCCAAAACTATGGAGGCATGTAGATTCGAGATCATTTTAGTCCATAATCAGTTCGGGGGCCAATGCCTCATGGGCAGGTCCAGTTATGTCCCAAGCAGGGAAGAGGTACAACAGTAAGCTTATTCTGCTATTTGCATCGGAAGTCCCAAACAAAATTGAAGTGCGGGACACCATTATGATGTATACCTTTCAGAATTTCCATCTGGTGGAGGCAGGGAGGTTTGAGAATGAGTCTCCAAAGGGAGGAAATTGCTTCTCTATTAGTAGTGGTTTCCCCTTAAATGAAGGAGCTTATGGATTAGAATGCTTCAACTCCTGTTTATTCTCTGGTTGAAAAGCTTCTGCCAGCAGGTTGGGGATATGTGTGGAGGCATAGATTGCATAGATGAAGAAATAATAACTTAGAAAAATGTTGAAGCCCTATGCTCTTTATAGATGTAGGCTTAACAAATGTTCTACTAGATACTTCTTGTTTAATTATTAAAAATGAAAAGCAACAGATCTGCTAGGTGATTGAATAGCAGTTCTTTTGCATATTCTTACTTGAGCAATTCTCCTTTTTATAAGCTTTGCACGTTTTCTTCTTCGATGCACTTATTGAAATTTGAAGTCATGTCATGAGGTCTTTGCTTTCAATTGTTTTGTCTTGCTAACTTGTTACAATGTCAAATGGTGGCATTTTACACTTGTTTTCAAGGACATATTTAGTGCTTGCAACTATAATTCAGCTAACTCTTATTTTGTGATGCAGCATTAGAGGCCAGCAACTCGATACATTGTCCATTTACAGTGAGGGTATTGTGTGAGGAGGATGAACTTTTGAGCTCAATTCCACCAAGAGGTAACACTTAGCTCTGTATCATCTTTCACTTCAGGAACATGAGTAATAGCAGAAACCAAGCCAAATTATATGACAATCTATAATAATGTTCTCAGCCACGTTTGCAAATTGTCAGATGTACTTTCCCTTTCTATTACAGCAAAATTAGTTTGTGGATTGTTTATGGTAGTCGTTAAATGTATGTTGTAGATCTGGAGCCTCCTCGTAGAAGACCTCAGACATCAGCTAGAACCGCCCAGAGGCTGATTGCTCAAAGTATGGGTATAAAGTTGCCTTGTACGGACTTTGGGTCCAGAGAATATAGGAGACAGGAGGAAGCCAGGAAGAACCGGATAGTTTCAAGACAAAACTTGAAGAATGATGCTTGGGGTGATGATGACAACTAAAATTCATATGTTCAAGCTCTCTAAATATTTCATTTGTTCTTCAGTAAGCAACTATGTATTAACCAGCCTTACTTTTTGAGTTCTGCATATCTTGAACATATGATTCACACTCATGCTTGTATAGCTACAGAAATGAGCCAAACCATTTTTAATTCTCCAGTTTCTGGTGTATACCTGTGTTGTCAAAATTGTATCATTTGTTTTAGCGAAAAATGGGTAAAAACATACCCGCATGAGGTGTTTACACCAAGCTAATACTTGCATGAATACAAAGTTCTTTGGCTTGGTGTAAGCACCAGTGCGAGATATGAGTGTGCACCATACCTGGTGGAGTTGTGCTCATATTGCACGAAAATTATTATTTGCTGCTTATTGTGGGGCCTGTGATCTCCTTTTATACCAAGTTAACACCCAATATTAAAGTAAAAATGATCAATGCAACTTTTTTCACGTCTATAAAATTCCTTTTATACTCTTGAAATTCTATAAACTTCCACAACTCCTATGGAGATTCAAAATGATACCTTATATTACCAATCGATAAATTGACCAATTGACACAAATGTGCAACATTATACTTGGCGCTTAATTTGGTCCATTATACTGCTCCCTCACCTTCTCAAAAATTTGATTCAATGTATAGAGAAAGTTTTACTAATTCACATAACTATGAGTGGAACTTGATCTCTACAAATTTTGTTTCAACCACAAATTGGTTCATTTAACTTGTTCAAAATTAACTCCTTCTAATGTCAAAGTTTGTTTACATATTTTATTTTTGGGTACAAATCATGTTCTGAATTGAATTGTTAAACTCTTAAACTTTTGAAACTATATAAAATATTGACTTCACCAAAAAAAAAAATATCAATGTAAAATATTATGTATTATGAGTATATGAAACACCTAGTGACGTTTCAAACAATATTAAAATAATAAGTACAATGCAACACATAAGTTGGAGTAGACTTATCAATATATTTTCAGTTTTTAATTAACTTATTGATAACTGATGAAATCAATACTAAATTTCAACCATATTTATTCTTTTTTTTTTTCAACCATATTTATTTATTCAGAAAAAAATAAAACAATTAATGTACTTAATTACGTGTACAAAAATTATTGAGACAAATTTTGAATCACGTCGTCTAATAAATAAGTGAATGACCAAAGAAAAAACAATTTAATAAATCACGATTTATTCAAGAGCAGCCATAGTACACCTATCATATTTTGGTACAAATTAAAGAAGACAATTAAATGATTCCTTGACTAGGACTAGAGTACTATTTTATGGATGTGGAATACTTCTAGGTGATTTTTTTTAATTATACATTTCATAAATACTATTCCTCTGTCCCAAATTTATATGACATGGGTAAAATTTTGAGAATTAAATTTTCTAATTTTGATTATGAATTTGGAATAATTAAGAAAATTGTGAAAATATATATATTATAATTCAGGATAAATTGTAGTAAAAAATAAATTCGTTAGGTTCTTAAAACTTGAACGTGGCGCTAACTGAGATGGAGGGAGTAGGATTTGAGTTATATTTACCAATTATGCGATCATTTTTACGTTATCAATGAAATTTAATCTTTTTAATCGATTGTATAAAAGGTTATTATTTTATGTCATGTTTACAATAAAATAGTAGTAATATATTGCTGAAGGTCAACTCTATATCGATCATGATGTTAGTTTTTTTATACGATATCTTTGTATTGAAGGTATAACTCATATAAATATTCCAAAAGTCACATTATCACTAGCTAGGTAAACCTTTGGGTCTTAGAGTTTTGTCTAGTTACTTGAATAGTTTATAATTAAATTAATTAAGTCGATCGCGAATTTAATAATTAATTATTATTGGAATTATGTGAAAATAATAGGAGTATATTTCTAGTCCGATGAGCGCCGGAGTCCCTCCGCTATTACATTCCACGCTCTTCTCTGACCCATTAATTTTTTTATTATTAGGTGTATAATTGAGACAAGTGAGAGAGTCAGATACATGTGAATTTATTTGGATACAATATTTAAAACAAATTACACCTAAATTCGACTCTATGTATTTGACACGTTCAAATACATATATCTGAAGTCCAAATTCTGACAAAACTTGTAATATTGAAAACAAAGAACAATAATTTACTCTTGTCGCTTGTGTGTTGTCCAAAAATTATCAAATAAAATTAGTGGCGCTTATCGGTTGAATCGATTTGGATGTAAACTTAATATATATATCAGCTAAAAAATAAAGGTTGTTTTATTTCTACTTATTATCATGAGATGAATAATTAAGGGGTATGCATGCAACTAGAAAATTAAGTCGTCTAAGAAGAATGGAATGTTCTTTTAGTGCATGCATGCATCATGTATTTGGATATTAACGTGAGGCACAGGTTAAGCTAATAACCAATTTTGAATCTGACCTTCCAACTCTGGTAAACCATTCTACAAAATATACAAATTTGTTGTTTTACCTATTACCATCACTAATGTACGTTAGAATTTTTAATGTATGAACTTTTATAAGTTATAAGCTAACTAGTCAATTTAAACCGACTCTAAAAAACTGGCTTAGATAAGTTTTTTGGATTTCTATTCCCAAAAATAAAAAAGTTCCAAATAAAATATATATTAAAAACACAACATTTAGAACTCAATTTTTTTAAATCTATGAACAAACAAAAACTAAAAATAATGATCGAACTCGTAAAATTTAAATCATAAATCCGACTCGGAAAAAAGGAATTCAATTTAAAAATCTACGTCCACTACTGGTTTCTACTCATGCGTTCTACTTGTCTCTTTAGCCCCACTGGCCACTATGACTTGTCTGGAATATGGAAAAATATAACAAAGTCAAACACAAGTATATTTTTATTTTCTCAATTGTTTCACGTGTGTTGACCGACCCCTCTAATTCAATCTTTGACCAAAAAACAAAAAAAAAATCAAATAAAAAAATATAACAATAATTAAGAAAATGATTCTTTTCTTGTGCATCTTCCTTTGCTTTTTCCATTCAAACTTGATCTATAAATATTTAGCCACTTTCTTTTACCACCTTTAATTTTATATTTAAAAAATCCTCTGTTTCTCTCTGTCTTTTTCCCCCTCATTTTCTATATTGTTAGATTCTTCTTGTTTTTTTTTTTTTCATCATATAGAAAAATATGGAGGAAGTAGAAATACCCAAATATTTTCTGTGTCCAATATCACTCCAAATTATGAAAGATCCAGTTACAACAGTTACTGGAATTACATATGACAGGGAAAATATTGAAACATGGTTGTTGATGGCGGAGGAAAATACATATACGTGTCCCGTGACAAAGCAAATTTTGTCTAGAGACACCGCGTTGTTAACACCAAACCATATGTTAGGGAAATTTATTCGATCGTGGACTATATGCAATGCTGAGAAAGGGATTGAGCAAATTCCATCGCCTAAATATCCTCTCAACAAATCACATGTCATCAGGCTAATTCGTCAGGTGAAAAATCGCGATCTTTATTTAGAAGCTTTAAGGAAAATGGTGACTATGATAAGTGAGAATGACGAAAATAGGAAGTGTTTAGATGAAGGTGGTGCAATTAAGGCTATGGTTTTATTTATATTGAGGAGTTTTAAGGAAGGGGAATTAATTATGGGAATTGAAGAAGCTTTAAAGATTTTCCATCTTGTTTGGAGACCAACACATGAAAACAAACAACTTGTTAAGGAAAATCATGATCTAATTGAAGCTATTTTATGGATTTTGAAGAGTCGTGAAATGTGCAACAACAACAATAATCAAGTTGTAACATCAATCAAGACTCATGCAATGTTGGTCCTGAAAGATGTGATCTCAGTTTCAAGTGCAAATCTCTTATCGAGTTTAACACCTGAATTTTTCCAACAAATGTTGAATAGTTTGAGGAAAAACAATGTAAAATACATTTCTCAACAGGCAACAAAAGCAGCGTTACATGTGCTAATAGATACTTGTCCAAGGGGACGAAACAGGCTGAAAATGATCGAATTAGGGGCTGTTTTCGAGCTAATTGAGCTTGAATTAAGCAACAATGAGAAAAGGGTAAGTGAATTAGTTTTTTCACTTTTGTCACAATTGTGTAGTTTAGCTGATGGAAGAGCAGAATTACTAAAACATGCAGCTGGAATTGCAATTGTTTCTAAAAAGATACTTAGGATTTCTCCAGCAACAGATGAAAGTGCTATTCAAATTCTTGGATTAATTGCTAAGTTTTCAGCTACAAAAGAAGTGTTGATGGAAATGCTAAGAGTTGGGGGAGTGACAAAGTTATGCATGGTGATTCAAGCAAATTGTGAAGCAAGTTTAAGGAAAAAAGCACTGGAAATATTAAGGGCACATAATAATGTTTGGAGCAACTCTCCATGTGTACAAATTTATTTTTTGACAAGATATCCTGGTCAATAGAGATTTACAATCTCTTTATTTCAATATTTTTGGTTATGATATACTTGTAGAAATTGTAGCAACATTATATGCTTTTATTCTGCATAACAATATGCAAAATATACATTGAAACTTCATATTACATATATAAGTCTTATTATATACTAGATTCAGAGTCGGTACCAGCACGAGCCCAATATATGTTACTTTCTTTATTTCAATTTATTTTGTGTAGATGGAATTTCTAGAGTCAATCAAATACCATAGACTTATGTAGATAATTATTTTCCTTTTATCGGTTTAATTTCAACTTTTTCTAGGTATCTTCTATAGGATGTATTTGATTAGGAGGTTGATTTAAAGAAACCGCAAGAAAATTATACATCTGAAAACTCAAAAGGCTCATTTATACCATTGGCTATATTCTTGGTTTATATAACGTGGGGATAATGATGGATCAAAAATATAACGGAGAGTATAAATGATATATAGTCGTCGTAAATTTGTTGCTAATTGCCGCAAGGCTTGCTGATAGTTTCTAACTCATTTGGTCATGACGCTGAAAAAACTGATCTAAAACGAGTAAAGACTTTTTTGTTTATTTTGTTATTTTTTCTCTGTGATTTGGCAACACAATTTTTTTTTAATAACAATTTGTACTGCATTTTAATCTTTTTTCTCCATTATCATTTCAGTATTTCAATTATTTTCTTATTTTTTTTGATATAGTACATACGAGTTAAAATAAAATTTTGCGCACTATGTTCTTTGTATAATATATATTCCAATACCTAAATCTAGTTAAAGTGTCAGCTAATTATCAACCAACGATTATAATTTCATTTATATATTAATTAAATAAACAAATACATTAACTTTAATATAAAGTACATAAATTGATAAACGTATGTTACTAAAAAAAATTAAGTTATGATGAGTACGTCTGCTACTTTAATAATGTATTGATAGTATTCGAAGGGTGTGTTCAGAACTGAGGAAAATAATTTACCTAGTTAACACGCAATAAAAATAAATTTCACAAATGACATTTTATAATTTTGTCATCTCCACCCCTACTCCACCTCTCATAGTTTAAATTATATACCAAATCTTTAAGAATAACATTTTATGCGCTTACATAACAAACACAAAGAAATAAGTAATAAACTCGCATATTTTTCTGAAAACATTTCCATTTCCATTCGTACCGAACACACCCATTGTCATTTCAAAAGCTTTTTTTTTCTTCCAAAAACAATAGATTGAACGAAAATTTATTCTGGAACAAATTCAATTTCCGTTATACCAGAACTCCGATTACTATGAAGAAGCTGAAAAAGCTCATCTAATTAACTAATCAAGGACTTTTTCTTGTTTTGGAGTAAAATATCCAAATACTTATCTGATAAACAAAACAACTAATAATAACAAAACCCTACTTAATTTCTTTACTACTGTAAACAAATCTTAATATAGAAACTTTTGCTACCCAACAAAGGGGAGGAAAAAAAAAATAGATAGCATCATTAGGGAAAAACATGCACCATTTTTCAGTTCATAGTTCTTGCTTAAACACATTATTTTATCCTATTATCTTCCTTATTCTCTTCAATGCTGCATCTACCACAAATCAAATATCTAATTATATTGACCATCCTTTCGGTGGGATCGCAATTGAAACAAGTAACAGTAGAAAGTTGTTGTCCTACAAAGGTGATGTTCTTGCCATCAATCCATCACTTTCTATTGAGAATTTTAGGTTAAAGAATGCTTACATCGCGTTACAAGCTTGGAAAGAAGTAATTCTCTCTGATCCTCATAATATAACACAGAATTGGGTAGGATCTAATGTGTGTAATTACACTGGAGTTTTTTGTTCACCTTCACTTGATCAGCCCTCTGAACTTACAGTTTCTGGTATCGATATCAATCATGGCGATATAGCTGGTAAACTTCCACATGAATTAGGTTTACTATTTGACATTGCATTGATTCATATAAATTCTAATAGGTTTTGTGGTACAATACCTGAGAGTTTCTTGAATTTGAAGCTTCTTTTTGAGTTAGATCTTAGTAATAATCGATTCGTTGGAAAGTTCCCTGATGTGGTTGTTCAAATGCCTAACTTGAAGTTTCTTGATTTGAGGTTCAATGAGTTTGAAGGTGCATTGCCAAAACAACTTTTTGAAAGGGATTTAGATGCTCTGTTCATTAACAACAACAGATTTTCTTTTGAGTTGCCTGATAACTTTGGGAATTCGCCAGTTTCTGTTATGGTTTTGGCAAACAACAACTTTGTGGGATGTGTACCTGTTAGTATAGGCAAAATGGTTAGATTGAACGAGTTGCTTCTCTTAAATAACAAGTTCCATTCATGTTTACCTAATGAGATTGGGATGCTGAAGAATGTGACTGTGTTTGATATAAGTTATAATGAAATGATGGGCACTTTACCTGATAGTATTGGAGGGATGATGAGCTTGGAGCAGTTGAATTTGGGTCATAATATGTTTTCTGGAATGATTTCTAGCAACATATGTACACTTCCAAATTTGGAAAATTTTGTCTCTGAGCACAACTACTTTTCAGAAGAGAGTCCAGCTTGTCTAAACTTGAATGCATTTGCTGATCAACAGAATTGTCTTAGAGGAAGGCCAATGCAGAGATCTGCATTAAATTGCCAAAGATTTTTGTCAAATGAAGTTGATTGTACCACTTTCAAATGTGCATTACCTCCGTCACCTCCACCACCTACCACCCCTCCACAAAACAACTGTTGTATTTGTTTCCCTCCACCATCACCATCTCCATTGCCATCTACCGAGCCACCATCATCCCCACTACCACTACCTGCACCATCAGCATCGCCTTCTCCACCAAGCATATCACCATCACCATCGCCTTCTTCACCTCAGCCACCAGACTTGCCATCACTGTCACCATCACCTTCATTTGTAGAGCCTCCACTACCTTCTCCTCTACCGTGTGAAAATCAGAGAATACCATCAAGTCAAGATATATCATCTCCTTCCCCTTGAAAGTCGTTATGTAAGGTTACTCTTCTTGGTATCATCTTTCTCACTCAATGGAACTTTAAATCATTCCTGGGAATACAGGACATCCGCAGAAGGAGCTGTGAATTGAGATACAAGATGAAGGTTCTAAGGTGACAATTTGATTGCTCGAACTTCTCTACAAATTTATTGTTAGTACTTAATAAAATGTAGAACATGTTGCATGAATTGTCAGTATAAACTAGATAGTTGATCATGAAAAAGGAGTCTCCTTTGTTCAAAACAGAGAAATCAAGATGGTCTCTGAGGTTACACTGCTCATTTATTATTTTCAATGCTTTCACCAGCATTACTATTCACATGGAATCTCATTCAATACGAACTTTAAACAGGTATATTTTATAAAACAACATAGACACCTGATCATATAGGCTTATTTGGATCTTGAGTACTCGTTTCAAATTGAAATGAGTTGATTTGCAGTGTTACAGTGCCGGCTATGGAACTGCAGGCTGTGGTTAAACTATGTTAAAGCATTTACCATATGACAAAATAATGAAATCCATTGATTTAAACTTCTTGATACATTAACCTTCAATTCCAATATGAATACAAAATTCCAATAGTAAGCTTAACAATCGAAGGTAATGGCCTCAATTTCTAAGATACGTGACTTGGGTTGCGCCTAATGAGAACTTTGAGTATAAAATTCTCCTCATCAATCAGCTTAAAACGCAAAACATCTCCTACATGCAAATCATTGTCTTGTAGAAACTGGCGCCACCCTTTTCGAAATTTGAGTCTATCAGAACTACGAGCAACAACTGGCCAACTTTTGCCATCAGTCTGAAGAGTAGCCATTTTCTCAAATACTTGCCCCCTCTTCATATATTTTTTGCCAAATGTAGAGGGTAAATTCTGCATAAAGTATGTATATTAAAAAACGCGCAGATTACACATTCAACAACCAAGTGATCAAATGGTATGAATAAAAAAGACGACAGACAAGTAGTAGACAACTTAACATCATTATTCACAGTATATTCAAGTACTTCAAAGAAGACTGTTTAACCAATATGATTCATTTAGCTGATGTTATTGTAAAGACACTCAAGTGAAAACTAGATGATGAGTTAATATCTTTTGCAACTCATATACACATCAGAAGTTTGAGTGAATTTTTTTCAATTTCTGAAGGAAAAATATATTTCTCACTGTCAAATATTATTATGGAACGAAACACATTAATTACCTTTCAAAAATTCTCCCATATTACACTCCCTAAAATTTAAAATCCAAAGCGATGCACTACAGAACAGAATTATATTTCTGAAGTCACAATTTCAACAACTAATCTTGATTCAGTTTTTGAAAAATGCAACAGAACAAAAGTTACCAGACTATTTTGCCTTTTTGACACACTTTTGAGAATATATAGGATGCATAGATGCAAATTGCAATAAATAAACTTACCAACAACATCTTCGAAAAATTAGATTTCTTCATAACGATTTCAAATAACGTGACTGAGACTAGAGAATTTTCTGATTCATCAAGTTGTTCATCAGCTAAGGGAGATGCCACTTGTATCTCTGCACAGGTTTCTTTTTTAGAGTTACTATTTTTGGATTTAAACTTTAAATTATGCATAAAGACTGATGTATTGCCCCAAAGCTGAAGATGTTCAAAGGAACTTACCATGAGGATTCACTTCATCCAATGGATGCAATTGGATAGCATTTAATTCCTGCTTCAAGTAGCCATTCTTTCCATATACTTTTACAAAAAAAGTAGAATTTCCAGCATAAAAAAAATTAAGAAAATCTTCATTGTCCAAGTTATTATCCTGCACAAATTTTGGCCAACCACCCTTGAAATAGAAGTCCTCTTCAATCCTTTCTATAACAACCCTCCAAGATCTCCTCGCTGAACCTTCAACTTCAAGTAGATAGATCACTGGAATATCCCCGTTGAAATTTTCAAGAAAGCGCGACGGAATTTTCTAGGAAAAAAGAGAGAGAAAAAGGAACATAATTCCCAGTGAAAGAATATGCATGCAACATAAACACACAGAATCAGTGTATGGTTTTAACCAAAAATAGACAATGTGGGATAGGATAATACAAATTTAAAACACAAAGTTAAAGGGCATATATGGTGGAGACCAAACATGATTATGCCATTTAGGAAAAAGAAGAGATTACCAGCTTCAGATAGCACGTTTCAGGGCTATAAACCTTAATGAACGCAGGAAAACCATTACCAATATAATTTCGCTCCATTTCAATGTTTTAGACAGAATTCAGACCCTCTGTTTTTTTCTGGCTGGGGTTTATAGAGAAGAGATGGGTCGACCCGATTTTCCCTCTCTCCTTTGTCATTTTTATGGCGTGAGCAAGATGATGCCACAGATTTCACGAAAATGGCAAGTGAGAAAAAGCTGAAGAATGGAAAAGGGAAAAGACTATACATGAAATGGGTAACTAGACACAGTAGCGAGCAAGCCGCCGCCGGTGACAGATTAGCTGTACAATTGTATAGGTTTAATGCTCAATGAATATTTTGATTTTCTGTCCACGAGATTCGAAAAGATTTGATACTCCTCAATGCCAATTTATGTGGCAGCCTTTTGGATTTCCAAATTTAAATAACTCATATATTAGAATTTTCAATTAATTATAAATATACAAATTTTTTCCGATTTAACATGAACTGTTCTTTTAACTTTCAAAAATTGCAGTACTATATTAATAAGTTCTCCATATAAGTCTTTAGGTTATTTAAATGTGTGATAAGTTTGAAATTAAGCCATTCATATAAATAACTTTTTCACCGTAGCCCATAGGTTGATGTTATGACTACTTAGTCATTTATACTGATAGATAAAGGAGATTGATTTATTGACTATACGTTGATTATAACCGATCATGAAAGGCAGAATAAACAACAATTCAACAGAATACAGGCAACAATTTATGCATCCAAATAGATCACAATATAAATATATGGGTTATATATTGTTACAAGCACTTTACTTGTACATCTGTTCTACACAATTTGGTACTAGTTCATTTTTCGCATAACCAATCATTCTTCAATTTCCACTCCAAATACTTTATTACTTAGACAACATACCAGTATGGTATGAACTTCAGCTGCTCGCCAAAACGAGAAGATGCCTACGCTGTTTTACTTGCTGCGACACTCCCAACAAACTAAGAAGCATGACCAGAAATATCAAGGTAGCTACAAATATAGGTATCACATATTGCCTCATCCATTTCGCTGAAAACATGTTTCTCAACCATCTTGCTGAACTAGTCGTGCCCACTCCAACTTTATTCTTCTTGATAGCTTTGTACGGTTTGGATCCCTTTACTCTACACTTCATTACAATTTCTCTTACTAGTCTGAGTCTTCGATTCGCGGTGCCCTGGAAAGGAACAACAGAGGACATCGCAGCTTGAGCTTCGTGATTTGATATTTCAGAGGATTCAGGCCTATCCGGGATCATGGAAATAGGTCTGGGATCAAGTGAAGAATCATCTAGCTTAATGATATCATCCTTCATTATATCAGCAAACCAGTCCTCTTCAACATCACAATCCTGAAACCCATACAGCAGACCAAAAGACGGACCAAGTTATGTTACGCTTAATATGGAAAGGGTCAAGACCACATAGAAGTATGCTTGACACATTTACAAATGATCAACAGAAAACGGAGGTAAAACCAAAACCTTGAAGTGGCCAGAGGAATCGTGCTGAGAGAACTCTTTAGTTGGCTTATCAGATTCTGATCCAGAGTCAATCTGCTCAACTGAGTGGGAATGAAAACTGCTACTACCTTCCTTTGAACAGCATTCCCCGACATTGACCAATTCCAAGCTGCCCAATTGTCCTGCTCCAGACAGAGCAGTTGCACTTTCAGTAGCAACCAGTTGATTCCTCTGATTTCTTGGGGTGTCATTCAAATGAAACTCGCTATTCTTCCGGAGGCGGCAGACAACCATAGAATCCTGTATAACACAGCAGACCAAACAATCAAAGCACTTTCTTGATGTAGATGATTGACATTTTCTCAGCAAGTGGCATATTGCAGCAAAGTAACTATCTCATTGAGAAAAAACAGCCTGAAATACAATAGGCGCAATAAAAATCTCCAAAGTTGTGGAAGGCGATTAATATTTATCTCAGATCACGACAAGTCTGCAAGGGGATGAATTAGATTGATCAAGAAATAAAATTTTGGTGTAGACATCCCCACCAGATTTTACAGTTAACGAATTAAAAGAAGCAGCTCCAAGTGAATCTTCTATCTTGAATAATATCACCACTCAAACAACATCGCGCAATACGGTTGAACATTCCAGGTGAGACATATTTATTTTTTGTTGATTTCTGTTCTAAACAGTAAGCAAATGGATGTGACAACACGTTAACTCATCATGTTTCTACCCTCATATGAGACATTATAGTATCTATGGCTATGTCATGGCCTACCACCAATAAAACTATTTGTTTCTTCGAGTTACTTTTCACTTGGCATAGCTGGTAAGACCATTAGAGCAGGCTGCAGAGCTTTAATGAGTGACTGTTACATCGACCAAACCGTTCCTTCTTTTTATTCTCTCTTTCAACCAAAGTTGAGCAAACCATTCAGCATCACATAACAAAAGAAACTACCAATGCTAAAATTAGGAATTTAGGATGATACGTATACAAGAATTCATAAGAGCAGCATATTTACACAAGGAACGAACAACGAACAGTAGGAGTTGAATTTAATGTTGCAGCTGACAAGATAGGGAGTTCATCACATGAGGAGGATCAGTCTCTATGGGTCGGGTCAGAGCTCATAATTACCTGATAATTAGTGTTCCCAATCATGCAATATTCATGCATTATCCATTGTGTCCTCTGTCCTTTAGGAGCCCGACCAGTGTGGAACACCAACGTTCTCTTTGTGCCAATGATATTCGAACTAGACTTCACATTACGTTCTTTTCCTGTGGCCTTCCAGTAACCAGATTCAGTTGCCCTTTTACTTTGTGATCCGTTCGGGTACTTCCTTCCACGAGGAGAAAAGAAGAACCATTCATTATCTGATTGAATGACGGATTTAGCTGGTACATGTGAATAAGGATTGATCAATTAATGGAACAAGTATGTACGTATGAGTTGCTGCTACTCACAGAGTAACTAATAGAAACAGTCAAATGAATAGGGCTAAAGGTGGTAACATAATGTGATGCTTCTCATAATTTCCAAGCAGTGCACCTTATAAAAAAATTATTTAACAACTGTAAAAATCTAATATTTTACAGCGTATGCTGATGACCATACTAAGATGCTTAGCTTTGCATATCCTAACTATTGATACATCACGGCATATAACCAACTTAAAATTTTCCTTCAACTGTATTCAGTAGAAAGAGGATGTTTCAATATTGAAACCATGGCAGCTGAAAGGTTCACAATGTCTACTATATAAGAGATACAATGGGGAAAACTAGCAATATGTTCAAGCAAGAAATTGATTTAGTTTAGATCTCTAACCCTTATAACATGACTTCATTTAGAAGCATTCTTGTTGCTTTTTTGTCAAAACAAGGAGATTCTTCACTTTGAAATTAATATCAATCAACCTAAGATTCGATGAAGTCGATACATGGAAGAATCTTATTAATTGACTATCAAAGAGGAGGTTATTCCTTTCTTTTCTTCTTTGTGTGGGCATACTTTCCTATTTGTTTCATCAGGAATTCATTACCTTTTAGAAAGATTAAAAAAAAAGGAATATTTGACCATCACTTTCTCTGTTTTAAGGTACAAAAAAAAGGGGGGGGAAATAATCTAGAATGAATATACTGTGAAAACAATCACATTACAAGAAAAAGAAATGTGGTCCAATGGAAGAGAAACAAAACAAATGTAACATCAAAATTAAGAGATAATCCAATATTTGTGAAATTACTTTAAACTTCAAACTTCTTGAAAAAAAAATTCAAAAACGTATAACTACCAGATTAATAAGTTTATGATGCACTCATAGCCTTTTACTCGATATCATATGTTTCGAATTGGGCTACAACCATCACAATATATACTTATACATAAACACATACACGTATGTAGATACATACTATGATACACACACCACCATTTGGTAGCATGGATACCAATATCCCTATCAATATTGTAAATAACTAAGCATTCAACAAAGTGCACCATCTAACCTTTTGATAGCATGGGTGTCAACAGTTAATATTAGATCACGTACAATATCTAGTTTTACGGAGGTACCATGGGTTCACTTGGACAAATAATTTGAATGACAATGTTCAAACCAACTTCCCTCTATCTCAACTTGACCCAACTCTAGCACAAGTACCGAATAACTCCGACCACCATCATGATGGTGCTGTTCTAAACTACTTGCGCATATATACCTTGACCTAACCCAACACAAGCAGAGGCGTATCCAGGATCTCGGCTAGATGGGTGCACGATTACGAAAAAATGTATCTCTAATATAAATTTGATTGATTTGACTTTTAGTTTGTAATATGAATCATTAAAGTTTAAAAATTATAGATCCAAAATATATAATACTACTAGTTTTAAATTTTAATATACACATTTGATTTAATTATATAAAAAATTTACAATGCTAAATTTTTTAGGAATTATCAATGTAACACACTTGAAAATTTTGAAAGAATAAAGGAAAAAAACAAAAGAAAAATTAGTTGAAACGACAAAAGTGTAACTGATAAGAAACAAGATAGATATAAGATTTAAATTTCTATCTCTCACTTAGAGTAGTGCACCCAATCATCATCGCATTTTTATATGATACTTTGAACATGGGTTCACACATCTATATATATATATTTTTTTAAAAAAAATATAACACTACTATATATGATCTAGAGAGGGGAGCATGGGTTCACGTGAACCCATGGCACCCCCTCTAGATACGCCTCTGAACACAAGTACGAGGTAACTCTGTTAATCAAGGCTCCTCCACCACCATCATAATAATATATACATACATATATAGCACACACAAATCATGTTAATATGAAAAAAAGAAAAGAAGAAGAGAAAAGGTACCTGGTAAATCCCAAGGTTCATGTTTCCAAATTTCAACCTCAGAAATAACTTCAACACACTTATCAGAGCCCTCAAGTTTCTTCTTCAAGTAATACGATATGAGTTCTTCGTCAGTTGGAGAAAACCTGAAACCAGGAAACATTGAAGACGCAGTCGCTATTGAAATTTCCGTATTATTATTTCTGGGTGTTCTCTCATTTCTTGAAGAAGACGATACATGCCCATTCTCCATAGTAAACTCAATACAATTACCAAAAAAAAAAACTGAAAATTTCAAGACGCCGCCTCTCTTCTTCTTCTCCGTCTCGTTGTACTAATTATAAAAAAAGAGTGTTGGAATCTCTGAAGAAAAAGAAGAGAATCAATGAAAAAGGAAGCAAACGGTGCCTTCCTTCAACGTGCCCATTCTACATGCTCTGTTTTGAGGGGTCGCACGGGAATTCACGTGCCAATGTACACGTGTCGCTGTTAGGTTATACGAAGTTGCATGTGTGGGTCCCATTTTACGCCTTAAACATGTCATATAAAAACCTGAAATTAAAGTGAAAAGAGATCCTTCTTAAAACAGATTTTAAAGAAAAAAAGTTATTCTTTTTTAAACAGAAAAAAGTATTATATATAGAAATTTGGATGTTTACCTTATTTCCAGAAGGGAAAAAGAACAAATATACTTTTAAATTATCGTAAATGGTACGTAAATATCCTTCCTTATACTCTTTGGTTATTAGTGTACATGCCGTCCAAAAATCAAAGCACGTTTGCCCCTTACTCTAAAGGAAGAATAATTAATGACTAGGGCCGACTCAATAAGATTGGGGGCCTCAAGCGAAACTTAAGAGACGGGCCCTAATATTTTATATTTTTCATCATATATACTTTTATTTAAAAGAGCAACTTTCACATATAGCAAACATAAAAATTATATTTGTATGTTATAGCTATAATTTGCATAATTGTGTTCCATAACAAATTTTATGTTTGCTATGGAGCTTTTGATTTGTATAATTAGCTTGATACATCCAATTTTACATAAATTGTTCAGTTTTGAATAAATTCATTTATACATTGTAATTTGTATAATAAGATCTGTATTTGTATAATTATAAGTGTATAGGACAGAAATATATGTATTTGTATTTGTACATACATTTTTCTCTCGCTTTATACAAATACAAACACATTTTATACCGAAATGTATAAAATGGCTAATTGTATACCGAATCAGATATAAAAAAAAGGGGATGTTTGCTTCGAATTACAAATAAAATAAACCATGGCTATATCATTTAATTTGAATTAATAGTTTGTTATTTCATACTCCCTCTGTCCCTAATTACTTGTCCATTTTGACAAATCAAGAAAGGACAATTTTTTTTTACCTATTATACCATCAATTAAATGATTAATTACTTTGAAAAATGTAGAACTTTTCATCCAGTTCATAATTAATAAGGGTAAAATGGTAAACTCACTATGTCATTAATTGTTTTCTTAATTAGTGTGTCAATTCAAAAGTAGACAAGTAATTAAGGACAAAGGGAGTACAATTTTCCATATTTAAAATCTACTTTTAATTTCTAGTTTTTTTAGATGCAAAGTCATTGAGTAATGTTTTATAATAGATTTGTTTCAATAATTCCTTTCAATTGATAATATAGCTAATTCATTCAATCTCTCTTGAAGCATTGTTGATCTTAAATAAGATTTAATCAATTTTAGTTTCAAAAAAATTCTTTGGGCTGAGATAACAGTTTCAAGAACTCTTAACATTATTCTATAAGCAATATGTTTATTTAGAAAAGAATCAAGTCTTTTTATTTCATTAAGTATTTTCGTTACATCATTATCTTCCACGTATATTATTTCTCTTAACACTTTTAATTAAAAGATTAAATTTAAATCATCAATATCAAAATAACTATTATGTGTTAAAGAAAGTTTAAGGTTAAGACGATGTTTTTTTTTTTTGAATTCTCTTCATCTAGTGATCTCAATTTACCACTAAATAAGAAACCAAAAATATTTTCATATCCTTCAATTGGTTCAATTCTATTTTGAAGTGAAAAAATAGCTTGATCTACTATATATATAGTAATCAACTCTAATATCAAGGGACTTTGTGATTTCGTTATCAATATTTTCATCAAATTGTTTCTTACAAAATTCAGGCTTTATATTCATTTCATATGCAATTTCTTTAGTAGAAATCATAACACTCACAATACATTTATTTTTAAAAAATAATAATATTTATAAGTAAAATAAAAATAAAAATGTGGGCCCCAAGCAATGGCTTTAGTTGCTTAGGGGTTGAGATGGCTCTGAATTTAATAGTGACATGTGCTGCAATCCTATGACTCAATTCGGTTTGACCAATTAATTAACCTAAAATTTAAATACCCGCCCAATGACCGGTTTAACCCACCCGATACACCCAAATCGGGTTAAACGGGTCATTGGGAGGGTATTTGAATTTTGGGTTAATTAATTAGTCAAATCAAGTTGAGTCGTAGGATTGCGCCACGTGTCACTAATTATTCTTCCGTTAAAATGACAGACAAATGTGCTCTAATTTTTAGACGACATGAACACTAATAATCAAAAGTATGTCGAAGGGTATTTATATATCATTTACAATTGTTTGAGGTATATTTGTCCTTTATCCCTTTTCAGAAAAATATGAGATTAGATTTTTTGTCTTTTTTCTTCGGCTGTATTTTCATGAGCTGTCCTTTGGACTTTAGTCAGTTTGGCGTTTACGCAAATGTTATATGTACTTTAAAAAGCGAAAGTTTGAAAAGAGAAATGTTGATAAAATACAATTTTGAACTATTATTTCAAAATTCTCATGAAGTTGAAATACATAAGTTGTTTGTAAATACTTGTAAGAATACCAGCATATGGTAAATAATGGAAATCGTTGTTTGAATCACTTGAATAACCATTCATGGATGATGCACCCTTTTAACTAGAAAAAATATTTTAAATTAAACATACGGTCAGCATATGAAATTATTTTACTATAGGATAATCTTTATCTATTATAATAAATAATTAGTATGATTTATCTTTAAAATTATAAAATTTACATCTTAAAAAGACTTATGTGTAGATATCTTTTTTGATGATTTGATATTGTAATGAAAAGTTTAATAGGAAAAAACATATATTAATTTCACAAATCCATCAACTATACCGTCAAACATCTTTGTAGATCATTCGCTATAATTCTTTGTTTCTCTCCATTTATATGACACATTTCGAATTTTAAAATTTAAATAAATCTATTTTTAATCATATTTTTTTATATATCTTTTAAATATTTTGAATTATCAATATTATGACGTATATACTTTTTACGTAGTTTACTTATATATAAATTTCATTTTAAAAAATTTGAAAATTTCATGAGTAAATTATCGATCAAATTTAAACTGTTTGAATGTCGAAAAACGAAATGTATCACATAAAAAAAAGTACAAATGGAGTTGTCATTGTCTCCAGGGGCGTAGGCACATGGTGGTGGTCACGGTGTCCAGACACCCTTCGTCGGAAAAAAAATACCGTATATACAAGTAAAATAATACATGAATTGATTAAATAATATATTTTGGACTCTCTTAACACAATAAGTTATTGTAACCCACTAATTTTAGACCTTTTTAATGGGTTTCAAACACTTCCGCCACTGACTGTGCAGTTTCTGGACACTTCCACCACTGATTGTCTCTAATTATTGAGTTTGAAAATCGCTATGCTCCACAAGTAATAGATTATTTTTTTCAACAATGTAAATGCACTTGTATAACAGTTTGGTTGAGAAGAATTGGAAATAATAATGGAGTCATGGCTTATCCTCATTATCATCCTCATCCTCACTTTCTTCATCTCTTTCTTCCTCAAATCCAATAAACAGAAGAAATTTCCACCAGGACCCTCTGTTTTCTCTGTGATTACCAGCTTCCTACGCGCTGATGCTGATATAGAACTCATCGCGAGGGACCTCAAGACTAAATATGGTCCTATTTTCAATTTGAGAATTGGAATTGGAATTGCATTTCGTCGTCCTTCCATATTTGTTGCTAGCCACTCATTAGCCTATCAAGCTTTAGTTCAGCAAGGTGTTGTTTTCTCTGACAGGCCAAAGGCTGCTCAGACCAGTGTATCCATTCACAGTAACCGAATTATCCTAACCACCCTCCCCTATGGCCCAACATGGCGCCTCCTTCGTCGAAACATTGTATCAGTTATCCTCCACCCTTCTCGCACTAAGTCCTACTCTAATGTCCGATCTCGGGTACTCTCTACCCTTATTCAGCAGCTCCGTTCTGATTCTGAAGCCACACAAGTGATTACATTAATTGAACATTTTCGTTTTTCCGTGTTCTGTCTTCTTGTCCTGATGTGCTTCGGGGACAAGATAGATCAGCATCAAGTCGAACAGATAAAAGATGTACAACGAAGATGGATTCAAACCATGGGTCGATTTGTTAATCTCAGTTTCTTCCCAAGAATAATTCAAAAGATCATTTTCAGGAATCAATGGAAGGAGCTCATGCAATTGATGCAGGAGCAAGAGAGTGTATTTATACCACTGATCGAGGCTCGAATGAAACCAAAAACCGAGGAAGATGTGGTGGCTTATGTGGATACATTGCTGGATTTGGAATTCCCTGAGGAAAAAAGGAAGTTTAATCAGGGAGAGATTGTTAGCCTCTGCAGTGAGTTCCTCACCGGTGGCACCGATACTACATCCTCCTCATTGCAATGGATTATGGCTAACTTGGTTAAATACCCTTGTATTCAGGAAAAACTATACCAAGAGATATGTGAGGTAATGAGCAGAGGGAATTCGAAGACGGATGGAGTAACAGAGGAGGAGGAGATAGTGAAAGAGGAAGATCTAGAGAAAATGCCTTACCTAAAAGCAGTGATCTTGGAAGGTCTAAGGCGGCATCCACCAGGTCACTTCCTGCAGCCACACACGGTGACCGAAGAAGTGGAGCTCAACGGTTATGTCATCCCTAAGGATGCACCAATCAATTTCATGGTTGCGGATATGGGATTGGATCCACTAGTGTGGAAGAATCCCTTGGATTTCAATCCAGATAGGTTCTTATCAAGTGATGTTACAGAAGCGTTTGATATAATAGGGAATAAAGAGATTAAGATGATGCCTTTTGGTGCAGGAAGAAGAGTATGTCCAGGCTATCTTTTGGCTCTGCTCCATTTAGAGTACTTTGTGGCTAATTTGGTCTGGCATTTTGAGTGGAAGCCTGTGGATGAAAACAATGTTGATCTATCTGAGAAGCTCGTATTCATCGTTACGATGAAGAATCCATTGTGTGCTCACATCCGTCCCAGAGTAAACAAACTTGAATGAGCTACCTGCTAATGTTGTTTGTTTTTCTTGAAGTTTAGATATGGGTTGCATCTCTAATGCACAAACAGTTAATGTATGTTAAATTCTAAATTCAAGTGTTAAAAGTCAAACTTCATGCTAAAATAATCAAAGAATGAAAGATTTGAATATGCATCGGTATCCCAAATAAATGTATCTAACCATCACATAGACCAATAATATGTGTAGTAATTTCAAATTGACAGGAAAACAGCAAAAACAAATAGGGATATTTAGTGATCCAAAATTCTTGGCCAGCCGTCGGTGAAACTAACTATCAAATTACACAGTAAAGTAAAAGAAGAAATTATTGGACAAGATAATATATTATTAAGCTGATGTGTTTGTTTTTACTATATTTATGGACAAGATAATATATTACTCCCTTGTGAAGATTGCGGGATTATAACAATTTTTCAAATACTAATATATTTATTCTCTAAATCATGATTAGACATTTACTTTGATTGATCAAATTTTAGCCATTAAATTAAATATATGCCATGTAATCACCAATCAAAGAAGAAACTTGGAGAAAATGGAGAGGAGCCGGATGAGTATTAAAAGATAAGATATATATGATTTATCAGTTTTTTATTCTTCTTTTTCTGTAACGACAGTTCAAGTGTGGCTTTCCTAAACATAAAAAATTGTAAATGGAGCTATTATTGTCTCTGGGGTGAAACACGAGCAACATCACTACTCTCCACAATAGAATCTTTTTTTTCCACTAATAATGCACTTGTATTTGGTGGAGAAATTAAGTGGTGTACATCATAGAGAGTTGGAAAATAATGGAGTCATGGCTCATCATCCTCATCCTCAGCCTCATAATCACTTTCTGTATCACTATCAAATCCAATAAACAGAAGAAATTTCCTCCAGGACCCTTTGCTTTTTCGGTGATTACCGGCTTACTACGCGTTAAAGCTGATATAGAACTCATCCTCAGGGACCTCAAGACTATATATGGTCCTATTTTCAACTTAAGAATTGGAATTGGATTTCGTCGTCCTTCAATATTTGTAGCTAGTCACTCATTAGCCTATCAAGCTTTAGTCCAACAAGGTGCTGTTTTCTCTGACCGCCCAAAGGCCGCTCAGACCAGTGTAAGCCTTCAAAGTTGCCGAATTAACATCTCTTCTTCTCCCTATGGCCCCTCATGGCGCCTCCTCCGTCGAAACATGGTATCTGAAATTCTCCACCCTTCTCGCACCAAGTCCTACTCTAAGGTCCGATCACGGGTACTCACTATCCTTATTCAACAGCTTCGTTCTGATTCTGCAGCAACGGAAGGGATCAGGTTGATTGATCATTTTCGTTATGCTATGTTCTATCTTCTTGTCTTGATGTGCTTCGGGGAAAACATTGATGAGGCTCAAGTCAAACTGATCCACGATGTACAACGAAGATGGATGCAAAGTGCGGGTCGATTCATCAATCTCAGCTTCTTTCCAAGATCACTTCAAAAGATCATATACAGGAAGCAATGGAAGGAGCTCATCCAACTGATACAAGAGCAAGAGAGTGTCTTTATGCCACTGATCGAGGCTCGAATGAAAGCAAAAACTGAGGAAGATGTGGTGGCTTATGCAGATACATTGCTGAATTTGGAATTCCCTGAGAAAAAAAGGAAGTTTAATCGGGGAGAGATTGTCAGCCTCTGCAGTGAGTTCCTCTCCGCTGGCACTGATACTACCGCCACCTCGTTGCAATGGATCATGGCTAACTTGGTTAAATACCCTTCTATTCAGGAAAAATTATACCAAGAGATATATGAGGTAGTGAGCAGAGAGAATTCGAAGCCGGATGGACTGAAAGAGGAAGATCTAGAGAAAATGCCTTACCTAAAAGCAGTGATTTTGGAAGGTCTCAGGCGGCATCCACCAGGTCACTTCCTGCAGCCACACACGGTGACCGAGGAAGTGGAACTCAACGGTTATGTCATCCCTAAGGATGTAGCAGTCAATTTCATGGTTGCAGATATGGGTTTGGATCCACAAGTGTGGGAGAATCCCTTGGATTTCAATCCAGACAGGTTCTTATCAGTGGGCGGTGACGATAAGGAAGTGTTTGATATAACAGGGGTTAGAGAGATCAAGATGATGCCTTTTGGTGCAGGGAGAAGAGTATGTCCAGGCTATGGCTTGGCTATGCTCCATTTAGAGTACATTGTGTTACAACCTGATTTCGAAAACTAAGGTTTCGAAACCAATTTCGCAACTTTGGCAACTTTTGTTATGTTTTGGAAAAATGAGTTATTTGGAGTCGCCACTTAATTCTTTAGGAAAAATTAAGAAAACCATTTTAAAAGGAATTTTTTGAAAGGAAATATTTTAAATAAAACATTTAATAAACCAGAGTCGGGTAAGAGTTCAAATAATTCTCTAAGGAAGGGTTTAGGCATCTTAGAGAATCCGCTAACACGCGGTTAACCGACGGATTTAAAGGTTGGCTAATTTGAAAAGATAACTTAAATTACTTGAAAAAATCTTATTTTATTATTTTATTATTTAATTTTGTTATATATATATATTTATTTTTTGATAAATGAGAAATCTTTTGATACTTGTACATTCATATTATCCCAATTAATGAAATAATTCAAATGTTGAAGTGCCAAAATAATAATTTAACTTAACATTTTATCCGAGTCAAGTTTTTGAGTCGAAAAATCAACACAATAACTTAAGCGTGGATTTGAAAGCTAAATACTAACTATGAAAGAATATAAGATAATTCTCAAGTTAGTCTTGAAAGCTTAGAGTGACTTAACTAAAACGGGTTTTGAAAATTTAGATATTTGAAGTAAACAACTAACGAAATAGAAAAGTTATTTTAAAAAACTCCCAAGGATTCATCTAAATTAGATAAAGCGTTAATTCACAATCAATCAATAAACAAATAATAAGACAAATAAAGGAAAAGAGCATGTCTCCAAATCAAGCCATTGGACTTAATGTTCGGACCACTTTTGTCGCTTATGCTCAAATTGGACCTTTAAGTCCTAAATTCCAAAATCTTTAGCCCTTTGCGGGCTGCTCTACTGCTGTAAATTGGACTAATTAAAGTCCAAAAATTTCCAATTTTAGTTCGTTTGGGACTGCTGGCTGCTACTGCTGCAATTGAATTGGATTTTAAAATCCCAAAATTCAATTTTCGGCCATTTGGGATTGCCATTACACCGCTACTTAGCTGCTGCCACTGATTTGGGATTTGACCCATTAATATTAGCTTCCCTTTCACGATTCCGATGAGGTTGACTCGAAGAGAGTTGAATGCAAACCAATGGAGAGTCCAAATGGACTCGAACAAGAAAGTTCACACAAAGAAAACAAACGAAATAAGGATTAGCGAGTTTGAATAGAGCAATAATTCAAATTCATTTTATTATGGTCAAACAATAAGGATCCATGAACATGGGAGAAATAAATGAGCAAAATGCAACTAACTATTCATTTAGCCAACGCACGCGGCCACACATAGTAAACATAAATGGGCTATTCGCTACTATCATGGGGATTTTTAAAGTTAACTATAATAGCCAGCTAGCAGCTAACCCAAATAGCATATCAATATAACTAAATAGAAATTAAGGATGAAAGAACCAATATTAAATGCAACAAATCACCCTACTAAAACATCTCTAAAGCAGCTAATTAATTAAGAATTCCACAAACTGTTATTTAAACAAGGGAACCCATTGCTAACTATATTCAACAAAGTTTAGCTAAATTTATTCATTTTTAAAGTAACAATAAGCGATACTAGAGAGACACATCAGAGAATGTTAAATAAATTCCAAACAAACTTTAGCAAAGATTAAGACAACCAGCCATATGGAGCATATGAAACTCAATTATTACTTTTCTTTTAGTGAACATGCTAAGAAGGGAAAAGAAAAACAAATAGCTAGCAGAATAAATAAGTTGTTGGTCAAAATAAGAACAAATAGAGCTTAACATAAGAGCTACTCTTCATAAACGAGGGTGAAGTAATGCTAGCTATCAGCCATCCTCTTTTTAGCAAATATGAATTTAATGTTAAACATAAAATATAAACAAAGAACTAAACAGTATCTACGACAAACAAGAAAATTAGTTGTTTTACTAGTTACTAAGACATCAGAATGGACAGCAAACCAAAAATCAAAATTACTAACAGATACAACAACTAAACTGATCTAATCCAGTCATTCAACACACAACCAAATAAATAAAAATATTTAAAAGAAGGAAGAATTACCTTTCACTGAGCAGCGAGCTAAAACGACGAGTTGAGAAGACGACTCCACCACCCCTTTCAACTCGAACAACCACAAAAATTGAACTATTGAACCAAGATTTCCCAAACCTTTTAGGGGTACTCTCAGGTTTTCCTCATTCCCCTTCGGACAGTGAGAAGAAGGCCTATTTATAGGGCCTAAAATCTCTAAAAAATGGAAAGATTTTCGATGTGGGATTTTTGAAAAATCCCTTAACATATAAGGGTTGCCAACTGGTTAGTGTACGAGTTTGAATGGAGAGGCGTTGATTTTGAGTGAAGGACGATCGAGGCGCGAGATGCAAACACCTGGCTCGATCGAGAATATTCTTGTACGAAGAGAGGGAGAGGACGACGCGGGCTACGTGCGATTTTGGAGAGTTGCGTCGCGTACTACTGGAATTTCTGGGTTTCTGCTCGTCTGGTCACGCGAGGGAGAAGACGCAGCAGGGGTCGCGCTTGAGTTCTGGGTCAGTCGGGTACTGTTTGGTGTTGCTGATCGTGTGTATTGTTGTATGTAGCTGATGGGTTGTATGAGATTGGGCCAAGATTTGGGAAAAGGGTTTATTATAAAACCATTTGGTCTTTAGGATTTGACCAAAGTATTGCAATTTTAGCCGAAATGGCTCATTGCATTACCAAATTTAACCAATGGAATTTTAACACATAGCCAATTCGATGATTGATGAATTCGGCTAAAGATCAAATAAGATGAATTGTTACTAATTAATTAACGAGCTTCTTAATTTTAACAAAATAAAATGATTAACTTAATTATAAATTGATTAACTCAAAAATATAAGCTATTAATTAACTAAACTAAATTAACCAAATATTTAGGAAAAACTAAATTGTTATTATTTTTTTTTAGATGATTTTTGAATACCCATAAAATGTACTAAATATAATTTTATAAAATATGTGTATTATTTGAAAATTTAAAAATAGTGACAAAACTATATATATATATTTTTTTAAACTTGAAATACATTGCAACTTTTATTAAAAGCTAATTATTTCAAATCGTTTGAAATTGAAAAAGCTCGATGATCAATACATATTGTGGAGGGCCAAAATTGGGTGTCAACAACTGCCCCTCGTTTGACTGGGATGGATGAAAGATATCCGAGGCAAATGAATTTGACAAATCCAATTTTGTCCGTCCACTAATCCATCAATTTGGAAGGTCTAATGGTAAGGATTTTGAGGGATAACGGTCGGACCCTGGTATCGGGTTTCCTACTTTTCTAAGGTTACATGAGAGCTCAGGCCCATAGTAGTTCGAAAGACACTTGATTCAACACACAATTTTGAGAGAATGCAAAAGCTATTTCGGTGTCGAAGTATGGAGAAATCGAAAAGCTCGAGAACTGGGTGATGACAGCATTGTTGGAGTACAATCGAGTTTTCAACATTAAGTCCGCCTACATATCCCTAAACTTTGGGAATCAGACTATTTGTAGTTCGACTCAATCGGTTGAAAAGGAAATCTCTTATGCGGATTTAACCTTTAGTTTAAAGATGATTGACAAATGAGTTGAGCGCGGAAAAGAGGCTTGCAAACATCTCACTTATGAATGTGGGGCCCTTCACACCCATATGTAAGAACTTACATTGACATAACTTCCAAAGCTCTAGGTGTATTGTCACTCGAATTTGAAAATTTGCCTTCGGTGAGAGTTGAAATTTTCACTGAAGGCGAAACTGAAACTACTAAACCCAAGAAAATACCCATATGCCTTAGGTTAGGTATGTGGTTTGATTGTGGTGGAAGTCGTTCCTCAACTCGCGTCCTAAGAGTTTGATATTCCTCTTTGGACTATGTCCCAGTTCGCTGCTAAGAAAAAGTTCCACGTTGTGTTGCGTCCTATTTTGACGTAGTCCACTTCGTGTGTTTCAAAATCTGGAGAAAATCGTCAGTAGAAAATGTAATATAAATACAAATATAATTTGTGCAAACCTGGTTTAACATGTCATACTGAAGGAGATGACGATCCAATTTCAAGTGTATTTCTCTTGAAGGAAGTGGTGATCCAAAATGGCGTGGCGATTCGAACGATGTGATGATTCGATAGCATTATATAACGTGTCACGTTGAAGGAAGTGACTCTCCAATAAAACATTTAACGTGTCACGTTGAAGGAAGACATGCTCTAATAAAAATTTGAACGATGTGATAATTTGATAACCATATAACGTGCCACGTTGAAGGAAATGACTCTCTAATAAAAAAATTTAACGTGTCACATTGAAGGAAGTGACGCTCCAATAAAATTTTAACGTGTCACATTGAAGGAAGTGACGCTCCAATAATATAACATGTCACATTGAAGGAAGTGACACTCCAATAATAATTTAATATGTCACGTTGAAGGAAGTGACGCTCCAATAAAATTTAACGTGTCACGTTGAAGGAAGTGACTCTCCAATAGTAATAATTCAACGTGCCACGTTGAAGGAAGTGACGCTCTAATAATAATTTAACGTGTCACATTGAAGGAAGGGACGCTCCAATAATATAACATGTCACATTGAAGGAAGTGACGCTCCAATAATAATTTAACGTGTCACGTTGAAGGAAGTGACTCTCCAATAATAATTTAACGTGTCACGTTGAAGGAAGTGACACTCCAATAATATACCTTAATGATAAAGAACAAATCTCAAAATAGGAAGTAAGGTTATAACATAACAATTTGATTAGCTCCTTGTAGTTTGTGAAGCCGATAACATCTCTGGTTGTCATTAAAACTTTATCGTCCCTGCGCTCATAGAAAATTTGTTAGTTAAGAATAGAGAGATTAACAAACGTCAAAACTTTTAAACGCGTTAAGACGATCCGGTAGCCATAGAGAACGAGAGGATCTGGGAGAACGATTTGAGAACTTTAAACGTTGAAAGGAGGCACTAATGGCCAATTAGAGATGTCACACAAGGT